CCGCCTCCGCCGCACGCCCGGCAAGGCCAACCGGTACGAGCTCTTCTACCAGCCAGGCGACGCCATCGCCTTCACCGTCGCCGAGCACACGGCGTCGGTGTCGATGAGCTGGCCACGGATGACCCGAGGGAGGTTGCCAGGATTGAGCCGCTCGTGCCGGAGCTCCCGGATGGCGGCGCGGTGCTGGCCGTGCAGGCCACCGTGCTGTTGCGGCCGGCGGCGCCGCGCGGCCTCGCCCTCGGCGTCACCGTGCACCACGCCGCCTGCGACGGCTCGAGCTCCACGAACTTCCTCCACACCTGGGCCGCCATCTGCTCAGGCGCCGCCGCCGCCCGTCATCGACCGCACGTCCATCCCTGAACGTGAAGATATCCACCATGTAAAGACGAGGACGACCAACTCGCCCGACCCCGACGTCGTCGACAGCAAGCTCCTCACCACATTCACGCTGTCAAGGGAAAACCTGCAGAGCATCAGGGACAGGGTCAGCGCCGCGGCGTGCTGCCTCCGCGGTGCACGTCCATCGTCGCGACGTTCGCCGTCATATGGCGGTGCCATGTCCGGGCCGCACTAGGCGCGGGCGGCGACGTCGAAGCAGAGCCTCGGAACCATGGCCGCCGTGCCCACCTCGTCTTCGCCACCGATCTCCGGTCACGGATGGAACCCCACATCCCGGACAAGTACCTCGGGAACTGCATCGGCACGTGCTTCGCGTCGGCGCCCAGAATGGACATCGCCGCAACCGGCGCGGATGGCCTATTCGCGGCCTGCGCTGCGATCGCCGCCGCCGTCGACGAAGGAATGCGATATGATCAAGGCTACTGGGACAGGTGCAGGGAGCACAGGGCAGAGGTGACGACCTGGCCGTTGTCGGTGGCCGGGTCACCGAGGTTCCGCGTGTACGACGTCGACTTTGGGTTCGGGAGTCCGGCGAAGGTGGAGATCGTGTCCGTGGCGAAGACCGGCGCGATGTCGGTGGCGGAGGGCCGTGGCGGCTGCTCCGGCGGCATTGAGATTGAGGTAGGCATCGCTTTGTCGCCGGAGCGGATGGAGAGGTTCCGGAGGTGCTTCCGCGATGAAGTCGCGTGGCTGTCGTCGTGATCCAGTCATAGCTAGGTGGCTGTCAATAGCTGGTCAGCGCTATACCAGTTATATACTACTTCGTACTAGTGTAATTTAAATTTGAATCTGTAAGACTGTAAAATTCAGTTTTCAATTGTATCAACTTCATTGTTTGTGGTGGATATATTTGACATGGATTAGTATCCTATTGTGACCATTTATGAAGTGTTTGTTAAATACTCCCTCCGTCCCTAAATATGAAACGCCGTTGACTTTTTAAACATGTTTGACCGTTCGTCTTATTTAAAAAATTTATGTAATTATTAATTTTTTTCCTATCATTTGATTCATTGTTAAATACATAAAAGTATACATATAGTTTTTTAATAAGACGAACGGTCAAACATGTTTTAAAAAGTCAATGGCGTTAAATATTTAGGGGCGGAGGGAGTATATGGGACTATTTATTTGACATTTGATAGAAAACACTCTCCTAAATATGGCAAATTCTAGACTGTTGGGTTAGCATTACTTCCAACCCTAACACCTTACTCTTCTCCTCCCTCCCCGCCATCATCGCACAGCACACGAGAGGGCAAGAGTCAGGTGATCAGAAATCTGCCCCACCTTCTTCACCACCGCTCGGTCTCACCAGTTGGCCGGGCGGCATTAACGACGCCGACGAGGCCCCTTGGCTGGCCTCCTCCATCACCTCCCCCTTCCCCAAGCTGACGGTGGCGAGGTCCTCCCACCCCGCCTGCTTCCCTGTCTTCGGTGCCTCCCTACCGTCGGATCCGCCACCGCTAGCCCCTGTCTTCTAACCAGAACCTTCGCTTTGCCCTTACCGGCCCACCACTCTCCTCCATCCCCGTGGCTTCCATGCCACCGCTGACACCTCGTTGCTCACCTGTGTCCACCACATACCACCGGGCCGCCATTTCCCACAGTCCTCTGTCAATGCATCACGATTTATGCACCTAATGTGGAAAAGCAATAATTTCTCTCATACGGTGGGTTCCATTGTATGAATACGATTTAACTTTACATAAATAGAGCCCACTCTCTCTCTTATCCCTCCTTCCCGGATCCCTATCACCTCACTCTCTCTTTCTCTCCTTCCGTCTTTCCCCAAATCATATCCCGCGGACCTCACTCTTGCAGGGGGCGAGGCATGGTGGCCGGAATTTAGGTGGAGCTCGGCGTGCCTTACTACGGCGGTGGCGAGGTGTCACGGTGCGGATCTGAAGCCAGTGATACAAATCCAATGCCGGCAGTCGTGCGGTCGGTGCGGAGCTTGCCTTGTGTTGTTATGTTTTTATTGGAAATATTGTTATTTTTTGTGCACAAAAGCACAAATAAATAAATTTAGAAATGTTATGACATGTGTTTTTTTATGAAAAGTACTTTTTTTCTCAAAACCGAACATTATGTTTATAATTGTGTAAAATATAATGTTTATGCAATTGTGCAATATCATTTTTCTCGGAAATTTTGTAGATATAAATTTCTGTAGAAACTATAAAATATTAAATGTACAAATGGAATATTGTGTACGGTGCATGTGTGTAAAGAGCGGTTAACTCATCAAATTTTGAATTGGAACTTTGATGGGGAATGTGCAATGTCTGAGGTCTAGATGTCTGGTAATATGGGGTGTTTGACCACACTTTACCACGCCACAATCTTAGGTGCCATAATTTATTAGGTATTTCCTCCGTGGTATAATGTAAGACTTTCTAGCATTGTCTACTTTTGTATAGATGTTAATGAAATTAGATATACATATGCCTAGATTCATTAACATCTATAATGTTAGAAAGTCTTACATTATAAAACGTATGTGTTTAGTTCACTACACTTTTTTTAATAGCATATGCCCCGCATGTCGTACACTTTTTTATTTTTTTTATAACTATTTAGATGACATGCAAATAACCAGAGAATCTTCACTCGACTACTCGAGAGAGTTTAGAATCTACACCCTTATTTTCTCTCACCTTTGTTTTTATTCTTTTTCTACACTCATGCAGTTCACATTGTTTTTTCCATCGCTCGTTTTGTGGCTTTAATTAGCACACAAGTCCAAAGCTACCCATAACTATAGATGGCCAAGTGGGCCGCTCGGCCAGGCACGACCCGGCACGGCCCGCCAAACGGCCATGCCCGCCCACGGCCTCCACCTATGGCCCAAGCACAGCCTAGTTAGAGTCTGACCGTGCTGGGCCGGCCCGAAGGCACATCTATCGTGCTTATCTTTGAAATAAGTCTATTTTGTATCTCTCCTTTTTGGGTCCTGTCTTACCTATGGCTGGAATAAGTCTATTAGCCTCCCTGCCCTTTGGGTTGTGTCTTATACTCCCCCCGTTTCAAAATGTTTGACACCGTTGACTTTTTAGTACGTGTTTGACCATTCGTCTTATTCAAAAAATTTAAGTAATTATTTATTTTTTTCATATCATTTGATTCATTATTAAATATACTTTCATGTACATATATAGTTTTACATATTTCACAATTTTTTTTTGAATAAGATGAACGGTCCAACATATGCTAAAAAGTCAACGGTGTCAAACATTTTGAAACAGAGGGAGTATATGCCTAGAATAAGTCTATCATGCCTCCATCCTCTTTGGGTCGTGTCATATATATATATATATATATGGTGAATAAGTCTATAACATCTCTGGTGTTTCGTGCCGTAACGGGCCAGCCCACCGTCCCCAGGCACAACTATCGGGCCAGGCCGGCATAGACCATTCAGCACTCTAGCCGTGCCATGCCTGGGCCGGGCCAAAAGGTCATGCCGTGGGCTGGGCCATCGATCGGCCCCCGAACCTTTTGGCCCATCTATACCCGTGACTGTTTGGCCGTCGGGCCCTGCCTAATTCCGAATTCTTAATCCTAATCTCAGCTTCCGGCTTCGCAGGCGAGGGCGAGTTGATCGACGAGCTCCGTCGGCTATGCATGTTAGGCGGCGAGGGAGTTGGGCTAGACGAAAACATCATCAGGAGGAGAAGACGGAGGAGGCTGCTGGGGTCGAGCACCGCTGACTGACACTGCTATAAGGTGGAGATTTTCATCTGCACCGCCGCGATGGAGGACATATAGCAGCGATGTTAGCGCCGATGGTCGCGAGGTCGTCGACAAGCTAGCTAGTGGTGTCAGTGGTCGCCGTCGCCGGAGGCGGCTGTCGGCGACGTGTCCCACCGTCACCACGGAGTTGTCCACTTCAACGACAACGACGCACGCCGAGAATGCCGCGGCGAAGTCTCCGTGATCGGGACAGGATCGGCCACTCGGGACTCGGGAGTCGATCGGGAGCCATCAGCGAGAGGAGCAAGCTGGTCGACGTGCGGCCAGTGCTGCCGCGGCTTCTCCGGTGCCGGCCTCTTCCCCTGGTCGACGCCGAGCTTTCCTTGGTGCTGCTGCAAATCGATCGCGCGCAGGACCGCAGGTTATGAACCTGCTGTTCTTTTTCTTCTTGTTCTTGCCATAGCCGCTAATCTTACCTTCCGCTCCTACTGCAGCTGCAGCCACTGGTTGACTTCCGATCTTGCAGAAGGGGGAATAAGCTAGACGAGAATTATTTCATGATTGCTTAAAAATAGCTTCTTGATTTTCATTTTATTTTATAGCTGAAGAAATCTTCATATCCCACACGGGCAGGGCATGCATGCATGTGGTCATGCGGGTCCAGCGTGCAAGCTGCCAGCCAACCAATCAGCGAGCATGCATGCGAGTACCAAGTGCGGCCGGCCACTTTATCCAGGCGGAGTGGATGACGCAACTCTGCCCTCTGTCCTCTGTTCGGTGTTCGCTGACTCCGATCCTCTCTCTCGCTCTTTGCTTGTCGGCTTTATGTACCCTCACTACTGTGTATCCATTTCTATAGTTCGTGCCTGCTCTTTGATACTGCGAATGTGAAAGATTAAACTAGCTGTAGTTTAATTTGTTTTTTTCATTACAAATTTATCTGCGACGATGAGAAAAATCCATATATGTTTTAAATAGGGATGGATATTGGGATACGGATACGTCGATACAATACTACGGTATTCTCTTAAAAAAAAAAAGAGCAAAGCGTCCGGGGTGCATGTGCATATAGCGTGCCTTCAGCACTTATCAATCGTCCAAGCCATCCGACGGCTCACATAGGGCACGCACGTGATAGCTGACGGAAGCAGCCCATCGAAGCCCACGAAAGCCAAGCGACACGTGCCTGCCTGCCTGCCTGCCGCGCGCCACGTGTCACGTGTCACTGGACGATGGCGACGATAGCCACGTGACGGCATCAGTGAAGCACCTCCGGAACCTCTCCATCCGCTCCGGCGGCAAACCGACGCCCACCTCAATGCCGCCGCCGCGGCCCTCCGCCACCGAGATCGCCCCGGTCTTCGCCACGGACACGACGTCCACCTTCGTCGGCCTCCCGAACCCAAAGTCCACGTCGTACACGCGGAACCTCGGCGACCCGGCCACCGCTAGCGGCGGGCCGTCGCTCGTGCTCATCCCTCTGACGTGCTCCCTGCACCTCTCCCAGTAGCCGGGATCGTATCTCGTTCCTTCGTCGATGGCGGCGGCGATCGCGGCGCAGGTCGTGAAGAGGCCGTCCTCCGCGTCGGCGGCGGCGATCTCTTTCTTGGGCGCCGAGGCGAAGCATGGCCCGACGCAGTTGCCGAGGTACTTGTCGGGGACGCGGGGTTCCATCCGCGCCCGGTGATCGGTGGGGAAGACGAAGTGGGCACGGCCATGGTTTCGAGGGTTGTTCTCTGCTTCGACGTCGCTTGCTAGTGCGGCGTGGATGTGGCACTGCCATATGACGGCGAACGTCGCGACGATGGACGTGCACCGAGGGGGCGGCGACTATATCCTTGATGTTCTGAAGGATCTCTCCTGACAGCGTGAAAGTGGCGAGGAGCTTGTTGTCGGCGACGTCGGGCGAGCTGAACTTGTCAGACTCCTCCTTCGTTCGATTGACCATGATGTCGTAGAGGTCCTCACGTTCGCGGATGAACGTGCGGTCGATGACGGGCGGCTTCGGCAGCACCACAGCGCCGGCGCAGGCGGCGGCCCAGGTATGGAGGAAGTGCGTGGAGCTCGAGCCGTCGCAGGCGGCGTGGTGCACGGTGACGCCGAGGGCGAGGCCGCGGCGCGCGGGGGGCAGCACGGTAGCCTGCACGGCCAGCACCGCGCCGCCATCCGGGAGCTCCGGCGCGAGCGGGGCGATCTTGGCGACCTCCCTCGGGTCGTCCGCGGCCAGCTCGTCGACACCGACGCCGTCGTCGTGCTCGGCGACGGTGAAGGCGACGGCGTCGCCTGGCTGGTAGAAGAGCTCGTACCGGTTGGTCTTGCCGGGAGTGAGGCGGAGGCGGCCGGCGAGCGGGTAGAAGACGTGGAGCACCCGGGACAGCGAGTCAGCCAGCCGGGACAGGACGGCGTCGACGTCGTCGTCGGCGGCGCCGAGGCGGTAGAGGAAGACCCGGTCGACGGGCGGGGTCGGGAGCCACATCGCGTCCAGGAAGGTGAGCGGGACGGCACGCTGGCGCAGCGAGGGGACACCGTCGGGCGACGACGGTGCGACGCGAGCGGTGCGCAGGACGCGGAAGCTGCCGCCGCGAGGTGGTGGAGCTGCCATTTGTGTCGCGGGCGCCATGTCTCCCGGCTAGCGAGCGAGCTATCCGCGCGCGTGGCTGATGTGAGTAGATGGAGTCCTATACAGGACGTAGTGACGTACTCCTACTATATAGTCCATTTTTTCTGTCTCACGGTATAAATGCTGCATGCCCCATGCTTGCAAATCGCAATGCGGCCGCATGCAAGGTTCTAGAAAGCCATTAGTGTGTTTCACTAGTTGTCAAGTTTGTATTGGCGGAGAGCTCGAGATTGATTGGTTGTAGCGTCACTGGTGACGATGGCCTTGCATGCACTGTTTGAGGAGAAACCAACTGGACTTTTGCTGCTGCTTTCGGAATTTTGCGGCCGCGCGGAGCTCATCGTCATACAGATGCGGAGCAGCTTGGTCGATCCGAGGATAATACGACTGCTAGAAAAAGCATTTTCACAGATGTTCAGAGATTTTCTTCCAAACGGATATGACCTGCGGAGCTAAATGGCCATGAAAATGTAAATCGGGATGGAGCTCTCTTTTCGTCTGCGAAAATCAATATTTTCAAGCAGACCACTTAAGAGATCCGCCTAAAAAAACCTTTATTTTTGTATGCGGACCTCTTAAGTGGTCCATCTGGAAAATATGATTTTTGCAGGTAGAACATGTAAAAAATCATGCCAACAAAAAATATCAAAGTTTTATCCCTATCCTTTCCCCACCACTCATTTTCCTCCCACTCCTCTCTCTCTCTCATTTGTTCACCAGCAGCAGCAAATCCACCACCGGCTCAGCTCCTCGCCACCTCTGCCGCTGGCCACGACAAACGGCGCCGACGCTTGTGGATCTGCCGCCGGCTCGCCCGCCTTCTCCCGGCGAGGTGTGACTCAGCTCGGCTCCTCCCTTTCACGGTGACGCGCGACAACGACGACGATGACGGTGCTGCTTATGGGTAGAGGAGGAGACACACGACGACGACGACAACAACGCCTGTGGGAGACGATGGCGCCGACGCAACGAGGACGACGCCTGTGGGAGCAGCGGCGGACGGAGGAGAGCCGTTGGAGGAGAGCCGTTGGCTGGAAGGGGAGGCCTACGGCGGCGCCCGTGTGCGGCTTTGTTTTTTATTCACTGAATGTGTTTTTGTAGGCGGATGAATCACTGCCTACGAAGATGGAGATGTCGCTTGCAAAAATGGCCGCAGGCCCGCCTACAAAAATCATCTATTTTCGCAGGAGATTGCACACTAGTAGAGAAACGATTTTCCTAGACGAGAAGCTATTTAGTTTATATACGGACCGTTTTCACGTCCGTATGCGAAAATCGATTTTCATATGCGGGTCTCTTAAGGGTCTGCACGTAAAAATAAGTCGATTTTTACGTGTGGGCCTCTTACGCGAAAACCAATTTTCACGTACGAACCTCTTAAAAACATGCCTACAAAAAGTCCATCCATCCTCTCTTTCCTTTGTCAACACTTCAAAATTTCATCTCATCCACCCATCCCAATCCTTATCTTTTCTATACTCTCTCTCACACTCTCTCACCTCTCTATCCTCTCTCACTCTCTCAACTCTCTCTCCTCTCCAGAGCGCGGCTGGCGCGGGCACGGCCGGCGGCACCGCGCCGCTCGGCGATGGCCCCGGCGGCATGCGCGCAACGGCGACCGGGAGCGGCAGGCTCGGCGGCTCGTGCGCGCGGCGGCGGGCGACCGGGAGAGACGGCGGCAGTCGACCGGACAAGTACCTCAGGAACTGCATCGGCACGTGCTTCGCGTCGGCGCCCAGAACGGACATTGCCGCAGCCGGCGCGGATGGCCTATTATCGCCGCCGCCGTCGACGAAGGAACGCGATGTGATCAAGGCTACTGGGACAGGTGCAGGGAGCGCAGCACAGAGGTGATGACCTGGCCGTTTTCGGTGGCGGGGTCACTACACCAGATCCTCACATCTTTGACGGCATATCTGTGACGGGCTTTAGTATTGGTCAGTGATGAGGGTCACCTTTGACGGGTTCTACGGGACGCCGTCATCGGTGAGGCATCCTTCTGCAATCCGTCACAGATAACTAGTCACCTGTGACGGTCCCACAGTAGAAACCGTCAAAGGTGAGGTAAATCTCACCTATGATGGCTTCCACATCCGGCCCGTCACAGGTAACTAGTTACCTGTGACGGGTTGCATCCTTATAAACTGTCAAAGGTGAAGTTAACTCACCTCAAACGGACCCATCACTGGAGCCCGTCACAGGTGGGGAGGGGGGCGGAGTATACTAATATGTACTCCCTTATCCACTCTGTCCCTCACACACTCTCTCTTATCCACATAAACAAAAAATCTCTCTCTCCCTTATCCACACTCACAGAAACAAGAGGGGAGGCTCTTGCGGGGCGGCGGAGGACCCGACGACCCTAGAGAGAGGCGGCGGCGGCGGCGCGCGGCGGTGGTTCGGCGGCGTTGGGCGACGGCTCAGCGGCGCGTGGCAGCGGCGGTGGTGCGGAGGCGCAGCGACAAGGTGGTGCGGCGGCGCTGGGTGGCAGCGGTGGTGCGGAGGCAAAGCGGCGAGGTGGTGCGGCGGCGCTAGGCGGCGAGCGGTGGCGGCGGTACCCACATCCTCCTCCCCCTTCTTTCTCCCCTCCTCCCCCTTCTCTTATTTCCGATCTAGTGTGTGGCTCAGCGATGCATGGCAGCGGTGAGGAGGGCTCGACAGCGTGCGGAGGCGAGGAGGAGGTGGGCGGTGGCGCCGCGGCCTCCATCCCCGACTGCCGGCCTCCAGGAGCTCGGGGTCACCGACGCTAAGCTCGAGCGACGACGACGATGACCACCGACGACAACCGCCGAGTCTGCCTCCGGGACACGGATCTGGCCTCTGGGACACGGATCTGGCCATCGACGCCTCCCCCACCTCCCGGCCGCCAGCGCCTCCACCCTTTCTTCCCCGCCGATGTGGTCGGTCGCCATGGCTGCCATCCCTCGCCCGCCGGTCGCCAGATCTGTCGCCGGTGTGCGGTGTGCCCCTCTCGCCCCCTATACTTTTGCATTGATATGATATTGTTGTCTGTGCATTGAGAAATTCTTGCCATCCACTTTGTGTGAATACTTCTATATGAGATCTATCGGTTTGAATTTTTTGTGTGATGATGAATGTGAGCAAAGCAGCTCTGAGCCTGTGACAACGAGCACCACCACAGCAGTGTGCACCATTTTTTTTTTGTTTGTTTTTCACACCAGTGACGGGTTGCATGCTGCTTCTTTTATTTTTTTTTGCTGGGTTAAAGACATCAGTGACGGGCCACAAAATAATGGGTCGTTTGAGATAACAGTCACCTGTGACGGGTTTTATATGTGGTCCGTCACAGGTAGCCTTCACCACTGACAGGTCTACACCCGTCAAAGGTGAGGAGAGTCATCAGTGACCACTAATATCTGACCAGAGCTATATCCGTCAAAGGTGACACTTTGGACCCGTCACAGGTAGCCCTACCCAGCGTAGTGGGTCGCCAAGGTTCCGCGTGTACGGCGTGGGTTCGGGAGGCTGGCGAAGGTGGACGTCATGTCCGTGGCGAAGACCGGCGCGATGTCGGTGGCGGAGGGCCGTGGCGGCTGCTCCGGTGGCATTGAGATTGAGGTGGGCATCGCTTTGTCGCCGGAGCGGATGGTGAGGTTGCGGAGGTACTTTGGCGATGATATCGCGTGGCTGTCGTCGTCGGGGCATTGAATATCAATTGGTAGAGAGTAGCTGGTCAGCGCTATACCAGCTATACTAGTGTAATTTAACTTTGAATCTGTAAGTTAAATTGTATCAATTTTCTGTTGTTTGTGGTGGACATATTTGAAAAGGATTAGTATCGTATTGTAACCATTTATGACGTGTTTGTTAACACTACCACAGAACACATGAATAGTGCTGGTTGGGAAACCCCTTAAAGTGTTGGTTTTCCCAACCTGCATTATGGAGGCGGCACTAAAGAGTGATCGGGCACCAATTCCGTTTTAAAAACTAGCATCTTTAAAACCATTTGCGAGCCAAAAAAATAGGCTCGATGCATCGAGCTCATCCACCCCGCATCATAGAACTCCAAATCAATTACAATCCTCAATTCCCAATCAAACAACATCACAGAACAAGAAACATTGAAGAACATCACATAAATCTTTCATAGAAATCATTCACTAACATTGAAGAACATCACAGAAAATCATCACAGAAAGAGAGGAGGGAGGGCGCCGCTGCATGCCGCCTCCCGCCGTGGCCGCCGCTGGGACGCCCCTCCCCGGATCTGGTGGAGGGGAGGGCGCGGCCACTGCCGACCAGCCACCGCCTCTCATCCCTGCAAGAGAGAGGACAGCGAGAGAGAGTCGAGAAGGGAGGGCGCCGCCGCCAGGCTGCCACCGCCTCTCATCCCGCCGCCGCATCCCCCCTCCCCTCTGCCGCCGCATGCCGCCTCCCACCGCGGCCGCCGCTGGGCCGCCCCTCCCTAGATCTGGCGGAGGGGAGGGCATGGCCGCCGCCGGCCGCGGGCAGTGAGAGAGAGGACAGCAAGTGAGAGACGAGCCACCGCACGCCGCTCCTCCACCGCCGCCTCCACCGTCGAGAGAGAGAGGGTGCTCGAGAGAGAGGGGAGAGAGAGCGGAGAGAACGAGAGAAATCGAGAGAGTTCGACTGTGCGAGTGGACGCTGCGGACCTTATCTCCTCGTCCTCGACGCGTCGTGGTGGGGCCTACCGGCTCGGCTAAATTCGTAGGTGCCGGTTTGCACCTATAATTTATTATAGGTGTCGGTTTTTAATATTATAGGTTCTGGTTTTTTTAAAAACCGACACAAAATAGAATAGGTGTCGGTTTTTATTTAGAATCGACACCTATAATTACTTAAAGGTGTCGGTGTTTTGTGATTTCAACCTACGGAGGTGGGAAAAGGCCTATAGGTGCCAGTTTTAGCACTACCGGCTTTTCCAGGATTTAATGGTATTGTACTTTCAGTGGTAGGCGACGTATCCGTCAACAGCGAGGCGCCTGTGGTGACTTCGTCAATCTCCAGGATTTACCAACCCTGTCTTCGAAGATGCTCATAGGGGTAGGGTTTGCCTGCGTGTGTTCATAGGGGTAAGTGTGCGTGCGTTGTGAGTATCTGCGTTGTAGCGTGTAATTCTAAAAAAAAGAATATATACATGGGACTATTTATTTGACATTTGATAGAA